TAAACTGTATGAATGAAACTGCAGAGGGCATATCAACTTCTGAGGTGTCGGTGCATTTCTATTGGAAAAGACCACATGGAAGTACATTGATGAAGATTCGTAGTGTGTAAGTTTTAAATTAGTACAATCTAAACTATTTTACAAAAGCTATTTTTATGTGACATAAGCAATTGTTAAGACTGCCAGTACAACCACTAAAAGCAAAATGACAATAAAAACGTTTCGTATTTCTAAGAGGATTTTTGTTCGGGTTTTATACGTTTTATGGATTTATTACTCTAAAAGGAAACAGTATTACGGGAGAAATATTGCAAGTATAAGATTTTATAGATAAAGATGAATTAAAAAAAGTATTGTAAAGTTGTAAAGAACAAACATTATTTGTTTAAAATCTGACTCGTGACTTTGAGGGCTCTGAAGATTAATATAGATTATTTTATCACTGATAAAGACTGAGCTTAACTTTATAAAAAAACTCCTTGGAATTACGAAATAATCTCTAACTCAGGATAATCCTTCTAATAAAAAAATATTACTTCACAGAACCCATTTTCGTAAAAAAGGAAAAAGACAAATGCCGTGTATTATTCTTGCGACTCTTTTAGGTCGGAAATGCCTTTACCAATCTTTATTATATTTTGATCTGTTGGGGAATCGTTACGTGAGAGAATAAAACCATTCCCTGGATGTCCCCTTTCCACGAGGAGAAGGACACCCCTTGGAATTAGTGTCCTCTACCTTTCCCAACCCTGACTGATTTGTGTCCGATTCAAGAAACCCCAACAATGATTTCCTTGATAAATTCATGTTGAACATGTATGATATTAATCCGTGTGTAGTTTTCTTTGCCACTGGAAAGTTTACATAGGTTACCGTGCTTTGTACTCAAAATTGTTCAAAATTGACGTCTTCGACCGTAGTGAGAGAAGTTGGATGAAGGCTTTGTTTTAGCACAATCCCGCCTTTGTGGCGAACGCCTTGGTTTTAAACTTGATTACTGAGGTTTAGAGGGGTCGAACACTCTAGACATTATTGCCATGGTTTAAACTATTCTGTAGCCAACGTATAACAACCAACTTGAATGTTATAATAAAATTAGGCGCGGTAGCCGAGTGGTTAGCATGAGAGACTCTCACGCCGCGGTCGTGGGTTCGATTCCCACCGTCGCCTCTGGCCCTTTTTTCCCGATAACCCCTAATTTGAACAACATCTATAAGAATTCGTCATGGCTAATATGCAAAGATCATAAGGCCAATAAACAAAAAAAAAAATCCCATTAGTGACACTGACTTTTTTATCCCAATTAAAAACCTTAATTAATTGAAAGATATTAATTGGTCAAGACAACCACGAAATTAGTGAATTTACATATAATAAAAGTTGGTTCATTTGGCTGGCCAGTAATGTGTTTTCATTATACATAATAGGAAAAAGATGGATGATAGATCTCAAACAAAATTGGCCTGAAACCAAAGTTAACTGTAAACAGATTAGGTTATGTAGCCCTAAAACTTTATAGCCCTGCTTGTTTATGTGTAAATAAACTTTATCTCATTTATGTTATATATTTGACACACCTTCTTTACAGCATATAAAGTTTAATAGGACTGCTTAATACTTATTTTGCACAAACACTAATCGACAACAAAGGAAGAATATGCAGATTCATTGTTTTCCTAGAGTAAGAATTTTTTTAAATCTTGCACCTCAATGGTTTTGTTCCAGTAAAGTGAAAAATCGGAAAAACTGTAGTAATCAACAGAAATTATTGGGTCCTGCCGTAAACTTAAACGTATATTTATGAAAAATTAACCTAAATTTTTAGCCATCGGCGGTCCAAAACACTCCAAAAATAATTATTAGTGAGTACATTTCCAAATTTACAACTACGTACAAAATTTTCAGTCAGTTCATTGACATCAAGTCATAGAAAGTATGTGTGTAGAACCAGCGAGACTATGCGGACCATGTAAAGGTCTCACGAAGCTCCCGGGGTCTTTTAAGGTACGGTTTGAAATGCTTCACTTGTACTCGGCCTTATAGATAAAGGGAGTGGAATTTATCTGATGTGTAATACACGTGCCATCGAAAACCTCTACCACTTCATTACTCATTTTTAGGAGAGGCTGTGTTCATTCTTTTTGGAAGATTTTATTTTATCCACGGAATTTTTGATTTCACCTGTTAACGGTCCACCCCACCCCACTCATTACGTTTGAACGACAAGCTTGGAGTACAAATATAAGCTAGCTGGCATTGCAACATTTCAAACTTTGAAGACTGTACAATTTTTTTAAATCATACCATAGATTCTTCTATTAACTATTAAAGTTGATTATTTTAAATTCGCCCTTAAGGTACGGATTGTTACTTTTTTACGTCCCATTGTTGTTATTTATTTGCTTGAAAGCAAAGGTTTATGCTTAATTTTTTGATTTTTAAGCTTGCTGCTGATGATTCTTTTTTATTTTGAGGTCTTGTCATATATATTTTTTTTATTGAAACAATTAAGAGGAATCTCTCTGTACTTATAATTCTATAACTTTTCTTTCAAAACAAATTCCTTTGATTTTGATGTAAGATCACCGGCTATCCCCACTTTTGACATTATTAAGTTCATAATTTCTCGAATTAATCATTCCACGGAAGGTCCCATTACAAGATGATTACTGTAAATTGAAACTCATGGGAGGAAATTTTCATATAAATGTACGTTTATTAATTTAAAAAATTAAGAAAAGAGAGAGGAAAATAAAAGAATGATGGAATATTTGACTGCATTCTGAATTACTAATTACTGATTATTCAGAAATCGTGAGATGCGGTCTGGTGTGATGTAGGTTTCAGAAAAACATTTTCTTTATTGTGCCAACGTTTCGATCTTTATTGAGATCATCTTCAGGGCCTGGGATTTACAAACATTGTTTAAATTTTACAAATACATGTAGGATTTGGAAAAAAGTGAACGTGAGATGAGGTCTGGTGGGATGTAGGTTTCAGAAAAACATTTTCTTTATCGTGCTAATGTTTCGATCTTTATTGAGATCATCTTCAGGGCCTGGGATTTACAAACATTGTTTTAATTAAAAAAACAAAACATGTAGGATGTGGAAAAAAGTGAATTTATACAATGTAACAAAATATTTTTTTATACGCGTACTTTACGCAGTAAACAAACACTTTGAGTGAGTAGAAATACTTTCATTGAATTAAAAAAAAAATTTTTTTTGCATTGTATAAATTCACTTTTTTCCACATCCTAAATGTTTTTGTTAAATTTAAACAATGTTTGCAAATCCCAGGCCCTGAAGATGATCTCAATAAAAATCGAAACGTTGGCACGATAAAGAAAATGTTTTTCTAAAACCTACATCACACCAGACCACATTTCACGATTTCTGAATAATCATCGATTATCGGTCACTAATCGCCACAAATTTGATTTATGTTTTGTTCAAAGTCAATGAAAGAAAACAGGTACAATTTAATTAAAATTATTTGTATAAATAAATCAAATTCTTTTCTTGATATCTATCAAATATATAATTTCTTATTATTTGTTTTATTTATTTTATTCTTCACATTTTTTTACGAAAAGTTAGTAAAAGAAGCTTTAAGTTCAGGCAATAATCATTTGGTACGTTTTTCTTGATCGGAATATTAAAGAAATAACAGGAGGACTTACTTAAATTGAATTCGCCCAAAACGATATTGTATAAAGGAGAAATTTGGCCCAACTTTGTAAGCCCAAGTGTTGACAGAAGTCGATAGGGCTTGTTCGGAGACGATAATACAACATAATTAAAAACAAAAAAGTCCCTTGAAGGTACTCACGATTTCTGAATAATCTTCGACTAACGGTCACTAATCACACACATTACTATTTACTTCACAGATGATAATTTGGCAAAACTGAAGAAAAATATTGAAGTTTTGGTAAAACAGAATAATAGCCGTGTAAGGCAGGTTTATGAACATTATAGTTAGAAAAAAGTGTATAAGAAACTTAAAAGATTTTTATTATGATTTCATTGATTACAATGAAAATCTTAAGCATTATTAAAATACAAATATGAAAATAACTCTTACTTGAATTTGGCCTAAAATCGATGAAATATTTAGTTTTATTATTTGTTGTTTCCAAAAGTAAGGAACAAATTAACTGTTAAACGATTGAATGTAGTAGAAGAAATATTCAACAACTCCCAGTCTGGTCAACTCAAATCTTAATCAAATTGATGTAAATATTGATTATATAAATTACGATCGCAAAACAATTCAATGACAACATAAATTTATATTTCAAACGAAACAAGGAAAAGGCGTTTCAATCAGTTTGAAGGGTTGTTTATATTTCTGAATATCTGGAGAACATTACCGTTTGGAGCTTTGCCCAGATGAAAGCGGAATTGGATATTTTGAACTGGACAACTGAAAATTCGGAAGTTAATATTTACAGCTTGTTGGCCTCGAAAATGTGCGATGAATGAGGGTTTTTTACTGCTAATTTTTTATTAATATTTATTTTTTATTGAACTACATAAAAATGTAGAAAAACTATATGTAAAACATAAAACGCAGAAAATAGGTTTAACCAGTTTTTCCAAATATCATGCAGCGAAACTTTGCGAAAGCTGCAACCGAAAGAAAAGTTCATTTTTATGTTCAACTTTTGTATTTTATGTGCATGCATTTGCACGATATAATACGAGATTTAATGAAAGACGTAATAAAACCAAAAAAAAACAACGGTTGTGTGCCTGGTTGTGTTGACGGTGGAAGAGTTTTAGTTATACAATTTTCCCTCCCTCCCATACAACTTATACAAAGACCAAAGCACTCTGACCCTCATGTATCGATATATTTCCAATTTCCAGTCCCTTAGAACCCTGCAAATTTGAATTTCAATACCACCCCTTTATAGCCTTTACGGCCCACTCGAGGGTGAGGTTGGGAAATTGGGTCAGACGGGTTTCAAAGTGGAATTTCTTGATCCTTACCTGGTGCGATCGACGACCCATCAGCTCGTGGACAGCTATAACGATCTCCCCGAGCTCGGACCTGGTGATGCAGCCGTCGCCGTTAATGTCGTACAGCTTGAACGCCCACCGCAGCTTCTCGTATATCGAACCGCGGAGCAGGGTCGACAGTGTCACCAGCAAATCCTTAAAAAAAAAATGTTACGCACACACCATAAAAAAAGACATCAATAAGAACAGCCATGCAGAACAAGCAATAAGGTAAAAAGAGAGGGTAAGTGACATTTTACACAAACTATTTTTCACCTTTTAATGACCATTGACCAATAAGATCCCATTAATTATACCAAAGATTACAATAAAAAGGTTTATTTATATTTTAAAAATTCATGTTAACAAAAATGAAACTATTTAAATAGCATTATCAAAATGATTTTGAAAATGAGTACGACTAATAAATGATTTAGCTGACACACCTGCTGAAAATGTAAGTATATATAGTACTAAGTACTATCTATACTTAGTAATATAGTACTTACAGAGAAATTTCCAAAACAAAAGATTTCATTCTAACAATTCAATACTGTTAAATAATAATGTTTTAAAAAGAAAAAGGATTTATATTGTAAAATATTTTGTACAAATTTTGCACCATTTTCTGTCATAGAAAAATTAGAATCCAAGCTACATTTTTATCAAAGAAATAGAACAAAAAGCTGACGTTTATGTATAGATTTAAAAAAATCTCAACCTATTTTTATAGAATGGCGGTTTGATCGTTTTTATTACATTTTCAAGAGGAGAAAGCACACGCGAGCTTCACATCGTGAAAATCGTGAGACGAAATAAAAGTGATGATGATTAACATTAAGGTAGATAGAATAATAATAAATGAAATAAAACGAGCAAAATTTAATATAAATTCATGCTTTTTAATTAAAAGAAGATTAAATAATGAGGTCCTTTGTGCTATGTGTACAATGAAAGGTGTTAATTATTATATAATATATTTTGAAATGATAAATCTGATGATAATTAACATTAAGTTTGGTATACTAACAAAACGAGGAAAATTTAAAGTATGTTCGTTTTATATTATTTTTTTATTTATTTAAAATACCACTAAACAATATAGTACTTTGTTCTAAGTGTACAATGAAAGGTGTTTTTTATTAGATAATATATTTTGAAATGATAAGTGAAAAATAAAAGTGATGATGAGTATGATTAACATTGGTAAAATAATAAAACGAGCAAAATTTAAAATAAATTCATTTTAATGAAATGACGATTAAATAATGAGATCCTTTGTGCTACGTGTACAATGAAAGGTGTTAATCATTATATAATATATTTTGAAATGATAAATCTGATAATAATTAACATTAAGCTTGGTATACTAATAAAACGAGCTAAATTTAAAATAAATTCATGTTTTGTTTTATCATTTTATTGAAAAGACCATTAAACAAGATTATACTTTGTGGTAGATGTACAATGAAAGGTGCTTTTTTATTATACAATATATTTAAAAAAAATAAAAGTGGTGATGATTTTTAAACTTGGTAGAATAATAAAACGAACAAAATTGAAAATAAATTCATTTTAATGAAATGACGATTAAATAATGAGGTCCTTTGTGCTAAGTTTACAACGAAAGGAGTTTTTTTTATTATATAATACATTTTGAAATGGTAAATCTGATGATAATTAACATTAAGCTTGGTATACTTATAAAACGAACAAAATTTAAAATAAGTTCGTATTTTGTTTTAACATTTTATTGTAAAAACCATTAAACAAGATAGTACTTTGTGGTAGATGTACAATGAAAGGTGCTTTTTTATTATACAATACATTTTAAAACAATAAAAGTGATGGTGATTAACACTAAACTTGTTAGAATAATAAAACGAGCAAAATTTGAAATAAATTCATGGTTTAGTTTTGTTTTTATTGAAAATGCCATCAAAGAATGTTGTACTTTGTGCTAGGTGTACAATGAGGTTTTTTTTCGACTGAAGTAAAAAGTCGACCTTCCCGAAGTACAGTAATACCGAGACTTAAGATCAGTGTAGAAGGAAATAGTACTGCCCTTTTCAATTAAATTTCTTAAGGTTTTTCCTTCTCTAGGGAACAAATAACTAGGAGATTCCTATGAGGTTAATTTGATTCTCTCAAGGCTCTTTTTAAAACCCGTTCCCCGGGTCTCTTCACATCGTGAAATAACAAAGAAAATACTTTTCCTCATTTGCAAAAATAATAAAAGTACGTTGTTTTATTTATAACTGAATAAAGAGAGCGCGTGAAAACTGTTGCCTGGCAACTGACGAGCGTTGGGATACTCGTTTAGCCCCTTGGTTTAACCGCGTTAGAAGTTGAATAATTCATCAACCCGATTGGACCATACTTAAAACTATATTACACGGCCTTCTCCCGAGTATTTTTGAGTGTAGATTTCCCTCTTATCAAAAAGTATGACATCCTTTGCATGCCACCAAGTTACCACATTTATTCATGAGCGGACCCTTGATTTAATTTTTCACGTCTTTCACGAGAAATCGATCACGGCCTTTCCGTTATAGAGACATGTAAGCCTGCTAAGCATAGAAATAAAACATGTATATGCTCGGGCGAAGAGAGAGTTGTAGCCCGTAACGATGGCTATACTCGCAACCCCGTTTTATTTCTCGGAGCCGGCACTGCACTACCCGGTCTACCAACACGGGATTTACGACCCGCAATTTCTTTATTTTTCAAATAGAATTTATGACCATAATTTGAAATACCAGAGATGGCGGGAGAAGGCCTTGCCAGACAAGTAGGAGGTACTATCTCTCATAAAGAATTGTACATCGCATCTGGAAACTTTAAGCAGAGAATATCTAACATATTTTTATCATTCGACCTCTAAAGAACATTTACTTTGGAAATATCGCAAGTTTCATTTGATAGAATAAAAATAATTTTGAATAAGATAGACTCATCTTAGTCGAGCTTGTAACTGGAAGAAATTTAGCTCCATTTCATCAATCATGTCCGTAGACCGTTCATAAATAATATTTTCTTTATGTAAGTAAGGTAATCCATTATAGAAGGCACAACAAACCAAATTTACAATATTAACGCAAATGTGTTCACGTTGGCATGAGTTTGATTGATCTAAATTGGCGATACTTGTCCTGACATTCTAGTCTATATGCAAATTTTTTTGGCATGCAAATAAACGTTGCGTAAAATAATGTTGCTTATAACATCTATTGGGTTTCGTGATCCGAGTGACCAAATAAATCTTCGGATCGCAGTCACGTTAGCTCAAGTGGGAGAGCAGCGGCGTATTTAGCCGAAAGTCGTGGGTTCGAATCCCGTTCGTGATATTGATTTTTTTATCTCAACCAAAACCTTAATTAAAGATTAATTAATTTAAAAGTTGCTAATAACATTACTCATAGAATCTTAAAACTAAGCCAAGCCACATTTGAGAAAATAAACAAAAAATTACCAACGTACTTATTGGATACCGCATGACAATCATTAAAAAATTATTACACAATTATTAAGAAATTATTAGGTTTCGTGATCCGATCGACCAAATAAATTCTTTTCAATTAATTAACCTTTATATAAGGCTTGGGTTGAGATAAAAAAAAGTCAGCGTCACGAGTGGGATTCGAACCCACGACCCTCGGCTAAATACGCCGCTGCTCTACCACTTGAGCTATCGCCGCACTAACTACCCATCTCAACCCCACCATTCGAATTTTTCCTCCTTTTTGCCATTTCTCAAAATGTCGTGTAATGAGGATTCGATTCTCGGCCACATATGAAGTGGCCATGGGGAGCTGTTAGTGAAGTTATACTTCGTTTTACTTATTGAATCCATTATATTTACTAACTTGATCTAGTGACCAAATTACTTATTTACCGAATAACTGAATAATCATAATCTTTATAATAATTAATCTTTATATAAGACATTGGTTGAGATAACAAAAAGAAAAATGGCAAAAAGAAGGGAAAATTCGAAAGGTGGGGTTGAGATGGGAAGTTGGTGTCCGAGTGGATCCGAGTCGCAATAGCTGAAGTGGTAGAGCAGCGGCGTATTTAGCCAAAGGTCATGGGTTCGAATCCCGCTCGTGACATTGACTTTTTTATCTCAACCAAAACCTTAATTAAAGATTAATTAATTGAAAAGTTGCTTATAACGTTGTTCACAGAATCTTAAAACTGAGCCAGCCCCATTTGAGAAAATAAACAAAAAATTACCAACGTACTTATTGGATACCGCATGACAATCATTAAAAAATTATTACACAATTATTAAGAGATTATTAATTATTAACAAAGCAATAACAAAAAAACAAGGGGTCGGCAGTAATAAAAACATAGACATCAGCTAAGGGAACTAGCAATATTGAAGGAACTAACATATATAGGAAAACCTTCGAATAAGATAAAAAAAAGATGCTAGAAAGGCGATGCAATAACATAAAAGTGGTGTTCAAATATAAGAAGAAAAAATGAATTTTATTAAGGGGGTTTAGGTTCCTCGAATAACCAAAAAGTACAAAATTTGATTGCTTGGACAGAAAGGTTTTGTTAAATCCATATTTCCACTCGGTTTATCCATAGTGGTCGCAGCATGTATACACTTAATTGAAATTTGACGGTCAAAACAGATTTCGGTCTTAAAAATCTTCATAGTTTTCCGAGTTTTGTCGGTGCTACTATATTTTGCGTGGTGCTTTCACGCCTGTGTGCTGTCTAGGTACAGTTCTGAGTACGTGTCTTGAGTGGATCTTATTATTGATTTATACTGGAGGGGGCAAGACTGTTTTATCATTGTAACTGTGCACTGTGTACGTTTTTACTCGTTCAGTCTGGTTCTCTATTTTTTGGAATCGTCTTTGCTCAAGATTTATTTGAGGATTTGGGTAACAAGATAAAATTGTTGTGTCGTAGTAGGCGAGGATGATTGTGTAGGAAATTCAACTGTATAAATGGTGTACAGGAAGGGACTAAGAATGTTCCTTGTGGGACGCCATCAGACTGATATGTGCGTACTCGTTGCCAAGCTCATTCTGAAGCAGATGTCAGCTAAATAGGATTCCGGAATAAGATAATAATCGAGCAAAAATGAGTGGATGCCAGAGTGCCCCATCTTAGAATAACAGGAACGTACCACAATGTATTACATTTATTATTATTATTTATTGGAACGAGGGAACGTTAACTGGTGAGGAGGAAGATTTTATCTGAATGTAGGATGAGAAAAGCTTTAAAATTTATTTTTTCGACAATTTTGAACACCACAGGAAGAATACTGATGGATGTGTTTGGGATGTTTAAGAGTGAGAATGATGATATCATTTGGATAGGGGAATATGGGTTAAAATATTTCTATAGAATACACAAGGATCAAAATGAGAAGAAAAAATCGCAGTATCATAACAAAAAGGTCGTTGTTATTAAAGAATGTTTAGAAATGCCTTATTTTAGCACAGTATAAATAATAGGACCTAAGATACTGCCATGGGGGTCAACTTTATCAATTGAATTCACTAGTTTTCGTGGTCCGCTTGATCAATTAACATCTTTCAATTAATTAACGTTTTTAGATGAGATAAAAAAGTCAATGTCACAAGCGGAATTCGAACCCACTACCTTCGGCTAAATACGCCGCTGCTCTACTAGTTGAGCCGAAGGTCGTGGGTTCGAATCTCGCTCGTGACATTGACTTTTTTTATCTCACCTGAAAACCTCAATTAATTAAAATTTATTAGTTGAAAAAATAAAAAAAGAGATTTCATGGCCCGTAATATCGACAATCCTAGAGATGGAAGGTAGGATATTTTTGAGTTTAAATAACAACTCTTCTTGCCAAACCTTATAAAAAGCCTGTGCTGACACCAGGAAAACACCAGCACAGCATAAATATAACGAAAATTCGTCTTTCTTGTTCTTTATGCTTTTTTATACCAACGTTATTTATATACTTCTTTTTTGTATACAACGAAAAAAGTTTGTGCTTTTTCAGCTATAAAACCATTTAGCCGATAATGGAGTTGCAAAACAATATAACACTCAGAAGTTATTCAATTCTATTTATTGTGAATTCAGTTCGTGTCATGTACGCCAGATAATGTAAGCAGTAAACGTCTGTTACATAAAACCTTCCATCTGCATGAATGTAAATCGTATGAACCGTTGTTAAACTTCAACAGTTTGTCGAAATCATATTTCAAGCTTGTCCCCTGTTCAATGGGAAAGGGGGTTAATTACCATTTGAGGTGAGTAATGATTGAACGATGGGAAATGGGAAGTTCGAGCCCCGCCGTTGACCGATTGTACCGTTTTCCAACTGGCGTCGATGATAACAAAGTTGTCTCAGACACAATGATTCCGCGGTCGCTTTGACTATCTTGACAATTGAAGAATTACACCGAATAACTGAGGAAGTTAGAGCCAGTCACCGTTAATCCAGAACCAATCATAAATCTCAGCCGCTATTCACGTCCGCGTCCTTTTTAGAAACTCTGCAAAACTATTTGTCAACCTTTCAAGGCTGTTTTCAATCTACATCTACTGCAACTACTGTGGTGATCATGCAACTACACGCTAAACAATATTTAAAAATAATATAATAAAATACTACTGACTCTGAAACTGATGGCGCCGTTGCAATTGACGTCAAAGGCTTTGAACACGTAATGTGCATATAACGTTGCATCTGAAACATAAAAATACACTAATCTATTCTATTTTGTTCTATCTACATCTATAAATTCTAAAACTAAGCTATGTTTAATTGTAACGATTTATGACAATTCGTACTTTCACAGGTACTTGTAATCAGTCTAAAGTCTCTATTGTTAAAAAATAATTTACATAATTGTATAATAAATCTAATTTAATTTGATTATAGTCACTAATATTTTTAATACTTTAAACTAAATTTAAGCAAAAATTAATTTATCTTAGTTCATTAAAAATAAAATCATACTACTTCCCATCTAAATATAGTTTAAAAATAAACCACTAATGCAAATATATGTTACAATCATAATAAACTAAATAAATACGGTGGTTTTTCATTCACTAGTTTTCGTGGTCCGCTTGAGCAATTAATAATCTTTCAATTAATTAAGGTTTTTAGTTGAGATAAAAATGTCAGTGTCACGAGCGGGATTCGAACCCACGACCTTCGGCTAGATACGCCGTTATTCTACCACTTGAGCTATCGAGAATTCGATCCACTCCAACTCCAACTCCCCATCTCAACCTACAAGCTTTCGAATTTTCCCTCCTTTTTTGAGAAGCGGCGTATCTAGCCGAAGGTCGTGGGTTCGAATCCCGCTCGTGACACTGACATTTTTTATCTAAACTAAAAACCTTAATTACTTTGGTTTTTGTTTAAAAAAATTCCACGTTTTTTAAAAGTAAATTTATTACTTATTTAATGATTTATTTGGGCATTTCTAAAATTTCCAACAATTATCAAAGAAATGGTAACATGTAACAATGAGGTAGGAAATAAATACAATATTAAAAATATGAGTGGAGAAAATACGCATTAGTGGCAATCCAATGATGCTAAAGTCTTGTCTGTTTAATTAATTTTATTGTCAATATTACTTTCACTATCACTGGTGATCTCGAGGCCATCTCTTCAGTGAGGAAAGTTCGAGGGAATTCGTCGGGATGCGACTTTTTAGATGTGATAATTTAAGATGGTTGTGAGGGTTTTGTGAAATTCGCGGTAACGGGAACGGATTTCAACTTGAACGAAGGAATATTTATGTCTGTGTGTGTAGTTTCGTTTGATACACAAAATGGAACATCAAGGATTTTTTCGTAAGCTGAACCCTACATTTCGAGTAAATTCATGATGTAAAACAGCCTTTTAATTTTAAGATGTAAGTCAGAGTGTTTGTCAAGAAATAGTGCAAGAGCCCTTTATTGGCTTTGAACTTCATAACTTGACTTTGAATTTGAACAGTCGTGTCTGTGGATTCCACGTCGTGTTTGTCGATGTACAGGTCGGAGGTATCGTACCGTGTCCGTAGTTGGAATATACAGGGTGTATCAAGTTCTATAGTCCATTCATTTAAATCGGAAACGATTAACTTTAGCAAAAATGGTCTTGTGCAAACCGACGGAAGACGGGGAGGGAGGTATGCTTTTTGGAACAGCAAGATGGCCCACCCCCTTTATTATCGGAAACGATTAACTTCAGCAAAATATGTCCTATGAAAATTTTCATTACGGTAAAAGCGGCATAAAATAAGCTCTAGAATCGAATCGTGTTGTCGTTCCATGTCGGTGAGATTAGAGACTTAGAAAAATTACAAAGGAAAGCAACCAGGATAATGGCTTTCAGATTTGGTCTTGCAGATCTGAATTACTTGGAAAAATTGAACTGGCTCTTAGTCTAGAGTCACTTAGCTCCAGCTGTACTTCTTCTGATCTCATTTGGGGTGGTAAATTGTGGAATGGGGCCCTTGACATTCAAAAATTATATTTATCACTACATGTACCTCAGCGACCACTAAGGAACCGTAAATTATTCTTTGTCCCACATTGCAGAAAAGAATATGGACTAAAATCCCCTCTACCGAGTATAATGAGATTGTTGAACCATTATTCCAATCAAATAGACGTATTTCATTCAGTTAAAATCAAATTAAAACGTATACTGCCAGAAATCCTTAAGCCATGTGTTTTTGTTTTTATTGTTTAATTACTCAATTGTTTTCTTTTTGTTAATATGTGCTCTGGTTACCACTCCTCTTGTAGATACACTCTGTTGCAGGTATAAATAAATATTCCTAGCCAGAATTAACATGAGATTTGTAAGACCATTTTTTGCTAAAGTAGATCGTTTCCGAATTAAATGGGTGAACTATAGAAGTTGAAACACTCTGAAGTTTTAAGTAAACTGGAGGGGAGATCTTTTTACGGAGAGTGATTGTATGAGTTAAATTAGATTCTTTTCTTTTTACAAGGGGGAAGTGTTGTTGAAAGTTTCGAGTGGAAATGACAGGTTCGGACTTACAAGAGAGGATTGCTGTATCGTCTGCAAATGTGAATGTGGTGGTTTGAGGACGTGATGGAATGTCAGCAGGATAAACCTGGTATAGTACGGGGGCCAGAACGCTACCCTTAGGAACTGCAGAATGGATAGGGAAATATTCTGAAAGGGACCTTCAATGACTCGGGAAAAACGGTCAGTGAGATAACCGCGCAGTTAACTCATACTGTAAGTGGAGAGATTGAGAGCATGAACAGGAAGCCCGGAGCCAAACTTGATCAAAAGCTTGGTTTACGTCAACAAACGCTCCAGAACAGTACTGTCCCAACCCAAGCGAGAAGGAGATAATGTCTACCATACGATGGCACTGTTGGATGGTTGAAAGGCAGTAACACAAACTAACTTGCTTGTGGATTACTGCAAAAGAAAAATTTGTTCATTCAAACTACTTAAAGTTTAACTCTTAAAACTTTGTAATATTAGCTTTCAAACAACTAAAAATTGCTATAAATGTATCAATTTAAATTTAAAAGGCAAGGAAAATTACATTGGGCTAGTTATTAGACCAATACTAACAATCATGAATAAAAATAAGGAATTGCGTAATTAAGACAAAACTTAAATAATGATGTTATAAACACCCCAAAACATGATGTATGTGTTTCTTATGTACATGTTACGATAAGATATAAGATATGATAAGAATAAAACAATAATAGGGGGCGTCGGTGGCCGCAACGATTTAAGCCAGGAACACACTTACCCGATGCTATGCGACGCNTTATGGAAAATCGGAGTTTTGATTTGCGTCGGGTAGCGTCGCATGGCGTAGCATCGGGTAAGTGTGTTTCTGGCTTTAGGCGCTTAGGTTTACGGCGCTCATCACTGTAAGGTTAAGGTCCCGGGTTCGAATCCAGCGGCCCTCCATTCGAGCCCGACATACTTACAAATGGGCTTTTTTTTTCAAAATCACGGCACCCCGAGGGTTGATATGACCTCTGCTGTTGCAAACCCTCGTTAAAAAAAAATAAAAAAATAATACGATCTATTTTCTACGGTATTATATGAAAATATTGTATGTCAATAATGTAACTAGGATTAATGCCATTTGAGAGTTACCCCTTTAATTCATGTTTTATTTGTTTGAACTCGTTTGTAAAAGTAAAATTTTTCCATTGTTATCATTGCTGATAACCGCCTCGGCAGACTATTTTCGTTTGTGTCTATGGAGTTTTTACCTCATGCACTGCTAATGGTAGCGTGACGCCTTGACGAGTCCGACCTAGAAAAGCAATATAACGGCCCAAGAAAAAGATAAGTAATGATGAAACTTCTTTGAAAAAGTTTAAGGACTTAGCCGGTGGAAATCAGAGTGGTTTTTCCACATAAAAACGAACTAAGTTTTAAGATAAATTGGTACTTTTTTCATATTCATTAACTTTTTAACAAGAGATCAATTGAATTTTTGATTGAAAATGTAGAAGAGCTAATTAGCTAATGAGCTGTTTTAACTATTGAGAAGACAGAATTTTAGGATATTGATTTAGTTTTATACAAAAGTAAAGAGTCCGTAACAGATCGCTCAAATGGGTACAGGTTAAAAAATACACGTAAAAGACGAGAAAAAGAAGTAAGAACTCGCACAAGACCGGTGATGAGCCTACTTGTCGATCCCTAAACATTCCTCATTACATACCTACAAGCATACTTCCAAAGGAATAGAAAAGATCCAAAAGATAAAAGAAAAGAGGTGGAGTAGCAAGACTAACGAATTGCTCAAAAAAAGGCAAAGTTATGACAAAAATTTGGAAAAACGCATTCCGTTTGTTTCGTTGTTAATTCCAATAAAGTAAACATTAATTGCCTTAATCAGTCTTGCAATTCATGTCGAAAGATGTGGTTATAGAGCTCCTTCAACCTGATGATGAGCTGTAGACTCGAAAAACTTCCAAAGTGTCTTATTATAAAATTCAAGTGAAACTATCAGGTTTCAACTACATTACTAAATAAACTGCACAAAAATGAATGGGGATATTTGTAATTCATTCGTATTCTATTAATTTTAATTAAATTAGCCGATATATTCTTGTTATTTTGATAACGCAAAATAGAAAATACAAACAAAAAACAAAAAGTGTTTTAATCCTCATTTTTAATAAAGGATTTACTTAAGAATAGTAAAGGAATACAAATAATCCCATTCATTTTTGCGCAGTTTATACAGGTCCTTTTTATATGGCCAGGCTGAATTCTCTTGAACCAATGACGCTATAAAAATAAAAAATAAAAAAATACGTCTTTAATATTTTTAGTCTATTTTCAAACTTTTACCTTCCATTGGAAAAAAAGTATACCTTCTTCAGGCCTAGTTCAACTTCAAAAGTTCAAATACGACCCTATCACATCATCCTGGCACTTCATTTTAAACGTCTTTTACTCTGAAAATCATGTGCAATCAGGTTTTCAATTGCTCAAAAAAAAGCAAAGTTATGGCAAAGAGTTTGAAAAAAAAACGCATTTCGTATGTTTCGTTCTTAATTCCAATAAAGTAAATATTAATTACCTTTATTGTTTGTAATCTGTCATTGTTTGTCAAACTCGCATTATGAGAGAAAATCTTAATTACCGGAAGTAAATAAAATTTACAACAGTACCTATTCGTTACATTCAGTATTCGATTCAAAATGGACCAAAGAGCACATTTTTCCGATCTTCAGGGAGTTGATATGTATGACTGCTGTATTGCTAGTGGTGATATTGCGCGTTGTGCAGTCGAGTTGTACTCCCAAAAATTTCCTGATCGCCCCAGAGTAAACCACAAAACGTTTATTCGTGTTGCTCGCAACATGAGAAGATACGGATCGGTTACTGTTCCATCACCAAGAAACCGGCAGCGTAATTTAGACTAGAAGCTGAATATTTTACTGAATATTCGCGAAAATCCGTATTCCACTCTCTGAAATGGAAGGGTTTAGGTTTTCAAAAAATACGATTGCAGATGCCCTCCGGACTTCAAATTTTCTTCCAGGGACTTCAGGACTCCGATTATGACAGGCGTCTAACGTTCCTTGCACAAATGTTGATTTGGGAGGCTGGAGATCACGTTCTTCTATACATCCTATGGGCAGAATGAAACCAAGTTCACCGTTGGAATTTTCGAACGTGGACAGAGAAAATCCGAGAATTTCGTACCCTTGTTATCAATCATGGTGGTTCACATTGTCCGAGTTTGGTGTGGACTTTTCGGAAATAAATTATTTGGGCCTTATTTCTACGAAGATAATTTAAATGGTGCTCAGTTCGTCAATTCTTTGAGGTAGGTTTTACCAACACTTTTAGATGATGTTTCTTTGCAACAACGACAAAAAATGATTCTACATGCTCCGCTTACAATTCTTTGCCGGTGAGACGTTAGAATCGTCACTGCCGGGGTAATTGGACAGGACCTCAAGGCTCGATATATTGGCCGCCGCGATCACCCGATTTAACTCCATTTGACTATTTTCTGTGGGGACATTTAAAAAAACAGCTCTTACGTCGATCATAACCCAGCACCTCAGTTGAAGAACTGCGGCAAAGGATAGAAAATGCTTGTCAATCCATCTCCTGTGATTTTCTCGCTCTGAGCACCGGTGAAGAATGGAGAAAATTGGCAGTTGGAATATGAAATGTAATTAATAAATAGCAAATCAAATGACTGAAAAAAATTTTCAAAACCTTTTGCTATGACTTTATTGATGAATTTAAAATCCGATTGCACTATTGTTTTTATTGTAACGAATCCTTTAAAATTATGGGTCAGGATGTATAGGGTCGTATTTCAAATTTTGAAGTTGAACTACGCCTTAGGCACCCTAGTATAATGGTTTTTCCAAAAAATGTAAAAATTTGAAAGTCCACGTATTTTTCACGGTTTTTTTAAATAGCGTCACCGTGCCTCCTAATTCATGAAGTGCCTAGATGAAATAGGACTCACCGGTGTGCTTAGGCACAGAACGGGTGATAACAATTTACACCCCGACTAAAGCCGGGAACACACTTACCAATGCAATGATGCAACGCCATGCGACGCTACCCAAAGCAAATCCAAATTCTATTTTTCCATAAGATTGTATTACTCCCGTGCACATCTGCCCGATGGTATGCAACGCTACCATACTCTACGCTCTGCGATCCCCACAGTGCAAATTTTCGTCGGGTCGCATCGAGTACAGTCGCAGACAAAAGACACTCATATTTTTATTCAAACGACATGTATTATTGCCCTTTTATTAATTACAACACTTATTTTAATATAAACCAAATTAACAGAGATCAAAAATTTATTAGCAGTTATTAAAAAAAATTAATTTTAATGGGTTGATAGAACATTTGATCAAAACACAGGAATACCATTTTTTAATATAATGAATTTATGAACAATTTATTACACGGTTTCGCTCATAAAATTTAACTAATAATTTATTTCGTAGTTTTACTCGTACAATTATATATAAGATTTTCGTCGAGTAGCGTCAGAACAGGATACTCATATTTTTTGTAGTTTATTTCAAACTATGTATATGCAAGTTTGTCGTTATATTGATTGCAACTTATTAAATTCACTAGTTTAATTGGTCCGCTTGTATATTTCAATTAATTAAGGTTTTTATTTGAGATAAAAAAGTCAGTGTTACGAGCGGGATTCGAACCCACGATCTTCGGCTAGATACGCCCCTTCTCTACCACTTGAGCTATCCTGATCTCGATCCACTCGGACACTAACTTCCCATCTCAACCCCACCTTTCGAATTTTCCCTCCTTTTTGCCATTTTTCAAATGTCGTGTAGTCTATTTGATTCTCGGCGACAAAAGTTGACCGAGGTCACGATAGCTCAAGTGGTAGAGCAGCGGCGTATCTAGCCGAAGATCGTGGGTTCGAATCCCGCTCGTGACACTGACTTTTTATCTCAACTAAAAATCTTAATTAATTGAAATTAATTGCAATATTCTTATTGTAATATAAACCAAATTAAACGAGATCAAAAATTCATTAGGTTTTATAAAAATTATTTAATTATGATGGTTAGAAAGAAAATTTATCAAAACACCGGAATAACTTTATTTATAACAAATTTAACTAACAATTTTTTACATGGTTTTGCTCAAAATATTGCATTAAGAACAAAAGAGGCGTTCCGATTGTGACACTGATTTGTGATACACGCTTTGTGACTGTACGTGGCGTGCGCTTGACGTCGCATTTTTGTGCACACCTTACTAAAACGTAGCAAAGCATCGGGTAGCGTCGCATAGAGTTGCTTCGTGTAAGTGTGTTCCCGGCTTGACACATCTACTGTAATCTAAGAAATAAGAGCTTTCTTTAAATTTTTTATTACTATTAAAATATTACGAGAACCAGTACGATTTGTCTAAGTTGTTGGAACATGTGGAAAATTCAAGCGGGACATCCTTTGAAACGTTAATGTTGTTTATGTATATTGCATAACTTTCTTCAGTTAATATTCAGTTCTTTGAAGAACATTCAGTCAAGAAAAGTGAGCTGTGCGTTTCGAATAAACGCTGTCACATAATTTGTTTGAAATACTAATCTAGACAATAATTTTTGTAAAACATGCGAACTATGCACGCCTGGTTAAAATGATCCAGATTGTGTTAATGCTTCTTTATGTCACATTCTTAACAATGTTGTTATAATCCAACTAACATCATTGAGATTCGCTTTATCGCCTCATGATGAAAGTAAAAATGAATCCCTTCAGACACGATAGAACCCGATGAAAGTTTTATCGCTACAGATTTTTTTAAAACTACTCTTTTTTCTCACATAATTGGCCCGAAATAGTGAAACAGGATTTTTTTCTCGCCATCAAAGTTTTCATCGTAGAGCTAGACTTGGCTTTGCCGCTTACCCTTCGCGTGAGGGACAGGAAGGATAATTGAGCGATTTAATACTCTGCGTGCCGAACACTGGCACTTTTCCAAATTGATAAGCCGCCGCCCCGAGCTTTTGGTCAGATTCCGCTTTTCTCTGCAATGAGATTTCCTACCAATACCGCGATAAACCCAAATCAACCGAAATTAATGGAAAATCTTTGTGTTCTTGGCTTTAGAAGCCGGTTTTGTCTAAAATAAAACCGACTTTGACCTCCTTTCAAAATTGTACGTTTCAATTTATCAACCTTGACTTTGATACCTTGTGGAGTTTTTTTTTATTATTTAATTACTCTGGGCTTTTCGAATTGGATCCGATTCTTTCGGAACAAAGAAATGGTAAATGAACTTACTCCACCAAACCCTTGTAAATCGACCGATAAAATAAATTACAGAGCACTTTCCTTACGCCAAAGAAACCATTGAAATTTCAGTCTCTCATGTTGAATTTGTTTTTAAATGCTTGTCATTACGAGGAACGAAAAACAAAATAATTTAACTGAATGACATCGAATGTTAAAAGTTTCAAGAAAATGGCATATTTTTATCACTGGTAAAATTGATATCAATCTAAAAAACTTTATAATAAAACCCATAGGTAAAGCCAATATTATAAGTTTTAATTGTGAACTATTAAACGAATCTTCGAACAATCACACTTTCCCGCTCTTTGACAATTCAACCTAATCTGCATAATTCCTAAACCTAAGAAACCAACCGAGATGCTCATATCGACCCAACAGCCTTCTTCCTACCCTCGGTAAAATACTTGAACAGCTGCTCCACCACCGACATCACCACATATTACCACCAAAATATCCCTACCTCAACCTAATCATCTATTCGGATATACGTCGCGTTGTGGTCACAATTTCCACGCCTCTTGAGCGAAGGCGATACACCACAGTAGTTTTTTCTAATTATATCTCAAGGCTTTGATAATATCTGACAACAGGCGTGTTTACATAAGATCAAAGGCGTTAATTCTGATGGCTTTTTCTAAATTTTCTTCGGTGCCTCTTCCTCTTCTATTTAGACATCCTTGCTCCCCTAGAAGTGCACCCCTCTGTATTATAATTACGATTATTCAGATATCGTGGGATGCGGTCTGGTGTGATGTAGGTTTCAGAAGTGCTCAACACGACACGCAAGAATGGCACAATCACACAGAAAACAAACACTTTGTGTGAGTAGAAATACTTTGATTGAATATAAAAAAAATATATATTTTGCATTATATAAATTTACTTTTTTCCAAATCCTACATGCATTTGTTAAATTTAAACAATGTTCGTAAATCCCAGGCCCTGAAGATGATCTCAATAAAGATCGAAACGTTGGCACGATAACGAAAATGTTTTTCTGAAACCTACATCACACCAGACCGCATCTCACGTTCACTTTTTTCCAAATCCTACATGCATTTGTTAAATTTAAACAATGTTTGTAAATCCCAGGCCCTGAAGATGATCTCAATAAAGATCGAAACGTTGGCACGATAAAGAAAATGTTTTTCTGAAACCTACATCACTCCCGACCGCATCTCACGATATCTGAATAACTATTAAATTTATTGCACATGTTTGTTGTTTTTTTGAAGTGAAGGTGAAAATGAATCTATATACTAAAAACAAAAACGGTCTTGCTTGACTAGTGACACTCATCGATCCATCCTTTGGTTTCATTTTTTCATAAGTTAACACTCAATCTCAGGTACATGTATTTCTTTATCACAGAAATGTTATATATACAACTTTTTAACTGTTATTTTAACTTAAAATTATAATTTAACTAGCTAAAACTATGCACAAGGATTGGGAGAAATTGAGACACACATCGGACGGTTATAACACGGTAAGGGACCCATCCCTGTTATCAATCCCGGTGTGATTAGACACACCAACGTCACTTTGCGTTTTATTTCGATTCATGAACAGTTGCAGAATTCCAGAATATGCCATGATGGAGCTCAGTCGATCCATTTGTAAATTACAAGTGTTTTCCGTTACATGAACAAAGACTTTTTCGTGAAGTAGTCTTCTCTCCAGGTCCAACTCTCTGCCCAGGATCCTAGGGGAGTCCAACCTGAAGAAATGACCACTTTCCGTCGCATGGGTTGCCAATCCCGTGTTTTCTTTCTATTTATACCGTCCAGTCTACGTTGGTTCATTCTTATTTCTACTTTTTGTTTTGTTTGCCCAATATATTGGATATGGCAACTCGCACATGACACCTTGTAAATCACACTCGACTGTGAACTTATTGGCTCCTTCGCCTTTAGGTTTGAATGCAAACATCTAAGGTTATTTCTAATTGTATACGTGATACCAATTTCCCCCATCTTCTCTTTAAACAATTTTTTGATTCTAGGGGTTACATTAGGAACATATGTGATTGATCTAAATGAAATTGGTTTATCACTCCCCTCCATCATGACATTGGGGGTAATGTTATCCATTAGAGCAGTATTCTGAACATATTTTTTTTTCTTTAAACTCATTTATGAGCCTACTTGCCAGTGCCACCGGGTAGTGTTATGTTTTTAACATTTTGTGGACCT